TCATTGTCTTGGATGCTGTGCTCTATGAATGAGCCAAGTACTTTTTAAACTTAAATCATGCTTAAAGTAACCAAAAATATTAAACATAAGAAACCATTCCCACCATCTAACCAGGGTTGGCAAAAAAACCCAACCCAAAAAAACCCAAAAAAACCCACCTTAAAAAAACCCAATAAAACCCAAAAAAACCCAAAATATATTTGGGTTTTTTTAAAAATGACCTAATTTACAATTGATAACTCTGATTTTAACACTTATAAATGCTTTATTATCAGCAAGTGCAACCTTAATACTGTAATTACTCTTGTAAACACTGTATTTATATACATAATGGTCTTTAGAATATATCCAAAATCGATCAATCTGTTTTTGTAGCAAGTTGGTTATTTATTATTTTTCTAAAACATTTAGCAAGTTATTATAAATGTTATTGAAATATGTATTAAAACATTAAATTAGTTAAATACTTATAATAGAAATAAAAATCATTCTATTAACTAAATTTCAAGACATTACTAGTTATTTAGTATCTTTATTCTCCTCTCGAATGTCTATATTCCTTTATATTGGTATTTGATCTTTTATTTTTTAAAGCTTATGTTGTAAACTGCAAAAAAAAAAAAAACAAAGCCACAAGCAAAATACTATATATAAAAATTATTAAACTTTATTTATAGTTTAGAAATGGAAAGTTGTCAGGCATAAAAAAAATGCTACAGTTTACTAGATTTGTCCTTAAGTGCATACAACTTTAAAACTTGAAAAAAAATTAAGTTATGTGCAAGCAAGTTTGCAACATGTTTGCTCATTCAATGAGAGAACATGTTGAAAACTTGTATGCATTTCACAAGGACAAGATTTGTTGGTAAAAATGACACTCGTGCTCATCTGTCTTTTGACAGGTTTTTAATATTTTGCATCAGCTACAAGTTTACAACATGTACCACCAACAGGGGTGACTATGAACAGCAGGTTGAAAGTTAACATCAGTATCAAGTTGCTAAAAGGTGAAGAAACACACACACAATAGAGCTATATAATGTGTTACTTTGATTCAGTTTGCAATTTGCATTGCAAAACTGAGCCGGTAAAACATCTTCAAGGAAAAAAAAAAAAAACTGTAATGGTTTTTAACAAATTTATTTTAGATATTTTAAGAAACAAAGTTTAGGCAAAAATCCATTTTTTGCCAGTCCAGTTGATCAGGCCGATAACTTTTCCAGGAAGCTGGACAATATAATGTTCTGATAAAAAAAAATGTAGTGATTAGGCTAGCAGTTTTCTTCTATGATACAAAAATGTTTAAAAAGTGTTCATAGTCATCCTGATTGATAATAACTTATAAGGTTGCAACATCGTGATGCAAACTTGTTGATTACATGTTGTAAACTTGTGCAAAATAGTTTTTGAAATGATATGTTGAACATGTTAGTAAAAAAAACTAGTTTGCAACATTTATATTGTCTTACCAACTTTGAACAACTCAATTGTCATAATTTTTACACTGATTTTTTTTTAGTCAAAAATATTCTGAACATGTTTTTAATTTAGAGCAATTAACTAACATCATTTATAGTTGATGGAGTCCCTTTTTGCACTATAGGTAAAATGTGCTAGTAGACTAGTAGTAAAACATTTGGCTCGCAACCAGAAGGTTGGGGTTCAAATTACCTCTGCTGAAATTACTGTCTCAATCTATTTCTCCACACAGCGCCTTTGTTTAAAACTTTTAGTTGTTAATGTTGTTTGTTAGTAAAAATGGTAATGTTAAGGATTGAGACAAAATATTTTTAAAAAATGAGTTGCTCCCTTGACTGAAATGGTCATTGGAGCAATAAGGAGGTGAATTTATGAAATTAAAAAAAAAATTATTGTACTCATACAATTATAAAAATTTGGTATTTTGATCGATTTTTAAAAAAACCCAAAAAAACCCATAAAACCCAATAAAACCCAAAAAAAACTATTTGGGTTGGGTTTTTTTAAAAAACCCTGAGTTTTTTACAACCCTGCATCTAACAGTTTCAATATATCTTTCACAAACATTCCTGGTTTGCAAAGTAACCTTCCATCATTTAAACCTTACCTCTTGCTAAAGTTCACTAGATTTGCTTGCTTTTTGTGAGACTAATTTAAATTCTCAGTATTGTTGGTACTATTCTTTGAATTGTTGCATGGTTGAATTAGGAGTATACTTACACATCAATTTATCTATTTTTTGATAAATTAGGTTTAAATTCTCTGACTATTCTTTTATGTCCTTCCACTTAGCACAACTTCACTTAATCAATATTGCCTTTGTTTGTTATCATTCTCCTTCTACTCAAGACTGCACTCTTTTAGACGTAACTTTTGATCAAATTGACTATGCACTTTCTCAACATCTCAACCTCTGCCAACATTGTTGTTATTGGTGACTTTAATGCTCATTACACTGAATGGCTCGGCTCTAACATTACTAACCCTGCTGACAGAAAGTCCCATAAACTTCAGTATTTCTTGATCTTTTACTCAGATAGTCAACTTTGTAACTTGCTATTCAGACAACCATAATTACTTACCTCTAATCCTTGATTTATATCCTACTCTTTAGGTGGTTCCAATCATGCAATGATCTCTATAAATCTTTCGTCTCATTCTTCTGCTTCATAAAGTCATATCTTAATTAAAATCTTGTGGTCCAGACAGCACTCCTGTCATTGTCTTACAAATTTGTTTTCCAGAACTCAATTCTTTATAAACTGTTTAACGAGTGCTTGACTGAACCTTGTTTTCTTGCCTGCTGGAAAATAACATCAGTGGTCTTCTCTCTTAGATCGTCTTAGAAAAGTCTACTCTTTTTGATTGCTTAGAGCAGGCATTCAATCTCAAATCTGATCTCACTTCTGTAACATTTTAAGACTTGTAGTGGCTTTTGAATTTTAACTACAACAAAACTCAATTGTTCACTGCCAACAACTATGACAATACTGTCAACATTCCTATATTAATGAACAACAGCCTTCTTACTGAGTCCTCTTCTTAACATCTATTGTTAAGAAGAGGAATTATTGTTCACAAGTGACCTCTCATGGAAACTATATAAACAATTTATTGCAAAGTTAGTATCTGCTAAGGTTGCTTCTCTTTATCCTGCTTGCCATGATCTTACTCCTTATTTTATTCTCTACCTCTACAAATCTCTCATTTGTCCCTGTATAGAATTCTGTTGGCATATTTAGGCTAATTCTTATAACAATGCTTTTTTTCTTTTAGACAAGGTTCAAAAACTCATTGTAAACGTAGATGGACCTGCTTTATCTGTCAAGCTTAAGCCTCTTTCCCATCTTCATAAAGTTGCATCTCTTAATCTTTCTACAAATACTATCATGGTTGCTGCTCAAAGGAGCTATAATATCTAGTTCCATCAACTAAAACTTCATTCAACTTTTAATTCAGTAAAATCAAATACTTTTATTGTATCTGTTCCTGCATGCTCTAAAAACTTTTATTTGTCTAGTTTTTCCCCTACACTTTCTCCCATCACCCCACTCTCTCCCATCTTCGTGTTTTCCTGACTCATATAACTTACAATGTTTCAAGTTTTCTGTCAACGATTTTCTTGTTCTTTAACTCTATTATTTGTTTCCTTGTAACTCCCAACTTAATTGTGGTTGCTTGCAGCCTCATTGAAATGAATTTGAAGTTTAAAAAATTTCAAATTTGTGATCCTGTTGTTTTGAAGGTGATAGAAACTTTGCATGATCATAACTTTTGAACTCTAAAGGATAATTAAGTAAAATTTGAAACCTGGTGATAAATTTAAATAAACTACAAGATAGTGAATTAGAATATTTTGATAACTTGTTGCTTCCACATAAGAGCTAGAAGGTATACTTTTTGGAGTATTTTTGTTCCCAAGATCCAATCACCACAATTTTTTTTCAAAGCAACCATATTTAACATAAGCATGAACATACTTAAACTTGGAGTTTTCACAATGCATGAATGCATCATATAAGAAACATCAATTTGTCCTGGATTCACCACTGCCTTAAATATCAAACTTGATATTCAAGGCAGTATTTAAATTAAAATATAAATAAAAATTTATATTTTAACTCAAGTTGTATCGATAACTTAAATTAAAATATAAAATGTTAAATTTCATTTATGGGCATTTTCACGAAATTTTACACATGAAATTTGAAATTTTATATTTTCTGAAACAATTGAGCTATGCGGGCTTCTACTGTATATTTTTGGCAATCACTTTGCTTCTAAATGAAGGAATATATTATCACACAATGTAGAACTATTTAAATTTAAAGCAAAATAATAACAAATAAATGTTTGTATATCTTTTTTTTTTTTTTTCACTTTTTTTTTTTTAATAATTAACAGATTATATGACATATATAGATCAGGATGGATATTTTTTTAAGTTCACAGAATCATATTTATTTTATAGCATTTCAAAACTAGTGTTAAAAAACAAAAAGTGTCAATTTTAGATTTTATTATTTTCAAACATTTATAAAATCAAAATGGTAAACTTCAAAGATTCAAAATGGTAAACTTCAAAGATTCAAAATGGTAAACTTCAAAGATTTTCTCTGCTCTGATCTCAATATATTATTTAGAACCAAAAAATTATTATTTAGAACCAAAAAATAACAAGTTCATAAAATTAACTTTTTTATACTCAGGGCATACTGTGCAATATGTTTTCTAACTTGTTAGGCTTTTCTCAATAAAATGTTTTGGATAACAACACTTTAAAATGCCGAACATATTTTAAAATGCCCAAATTATAACGATCACTTTTAAACAAACAAGAGGATTTATATATTGATTTGGTTCAATAAACAACATATATGTATATATATATATATATATATACATATATATATATATATATATATATATATATATATATATATATATATAATATATATATATATAATATATATATATATATATATATATATATATATATATATATATATTATAAAACTTACAATCACTGGATACAATAAACATATCTAATGCTTGATCTGAGTTGAAATCTCCATATGCAGCTATTAAACCATCCATTGAAAAGACTTCATCAATTGAAAGCGATATATCTATGCCATATATTCCAAATGCAACAAAAAGCATCCATGTTGTTACACGCATTATTTAATTTGCATTCTAGAATTGATTTCAAGTATATTATTTATTGAATACAAAGTTGTCAAGAAGGAGTTATAATAAAAAATAATGGAGTGTGTTGGTAAAACTACATTGACAATTTGTTTAAAAAGAAATATTAGTATTTCTATTTATTAAATTTATTAAACTGATCTTGTGGTAATAAATTCCAATTAATTATTTGTTAAATAATTTAACATAACATAATTGGAATTAATTACCACAAGATCAATTTAATTGCAAACAAAAACAAGAATAAAAGTAAAATACCCAAAACTTTAAGCTTTTAATGGCAAACAATTATTTTAATTTTGCAAAATATTAAATTCGAAGACTGTTATAGTCAATCATTAGCCTTTACTTACCAAACCAAAATAGTTAGTACACTATTTGTATATATATATATATATATATATATATATATATATATATATATATATATATATATATATATATATATATATATATATATATATATATATATATATATATATATATATATATATATATATATATATATATATATATATATATATATATATATATATATATATATATATATGTATATATATATGAATGTATATATGTGTATATATATATGAATATATATATGTGATATTTACATAGTAACTATAACACTGTGTATATATATATATGAATGTATATATGTGATATTTACATAGTAACCATTGCCATTAAATAATTTGAAAAAATAAAAGAAATCATCGGCTATATAAGGTTACTTGAAACATTGACAACGCATAAATAGTGTTCAAAATAGGCTCTTGTGTTTCAGTTTGTAGATTCAATATATAGTTTTTTACCTATCTAGTGTGATTAGCATTTTTAAACAGTGGAGAAATTAAGTTTATATATTATAGTAACATTTTGGCAAGGAACATAAACATTTCTCAAAATGACAAGAACCTCGTATTTCAGAATTCTTACAACTTTACAAATGAAACTTTGATAATAACCTTTTTTATTATTAAACTATTGTACAGGGAGTCAGTAATCAGTATTTTGTCCATTTCTTTCTATGCATTGGGTAATTCTCCTTGGCAGGCTTTCTACTAGGCGAAAACTCTCTTCTTGCGTAATGGCAGCCCACTCCTGTTCAACACGTCTGATCAACTGTTCACGATTACAAGGTCAAGGATTGTGTAAAACACTGTCTTGGAGTCTTGACCAAATATGTTTGATGACATTTAAGTCGGGCAAGTTGCCAGGCCAGTCGGTCCACACTGCTGGAAAGTCTCTGTTGATCACATTCATTGTTGCTCTTGCCGTGTGGCAAGTTGCTCCATCTTGCATTAGAATAACTTTATTTCTCACAGGAAAGATGGTCTTATCATTAACATGTGGGGGGTCAGAAATTAAGTATACACCCTGTAATTGTAAGTTGTTGTTTTTTTTTTTTTTTTTTTTTTTTGACATCATAACTTTATGACCTTTTCATATTTGACAATTGTGTTTTATTAGGTATTGAAGGTAGAACTAATTACTTATACTACACATTGTATTCACTATTATTTATGTATTATTTAATGTATTGTAAATTTAGTTTAAATATATTAAAATTATTTGGATGTTTTTCAAAGATGTCCCAACATATGGAAATTAAATGTTGTTTAATTTATTTTTAGCCTTATCTGTTTTCAATCTTTTAAAGGTTAAAATGTTTCGATTAACTCTTACCCCCTCTTACCCACTTAAGAGTTTTCTTTGAATTTAATGCTATTCGATACTACTCTTAACAAGTAACCCCTAAACAGTGGTAACTTGTAAAACTTTTCGCATTAAAAAAAAAGAATGCTAATATAAAAAAAATATATATTTTCCTAAATTTAATGGATCAACATCTAACACACCTACAAGTTAAAATTTTAGGTATATTTTAGTAGAAAAATTGAAATCTTGACTGTTGTAATATTGTTATTAAGTATATACTGGTGTATACCGTTTACCAAACATTCTAAATTTGTAATTCTTATAATCTTGTTATATTTTAAGGACCGGATATTTTTCGGAATTGATTGTAGTCATGGTAATCAAAATGCGGTAATTTTTTTTTTTTTTTTTTTTATTATTTTTTTTTTTTTACATTTATTTTGCTGTTTAACAAATATAATCAACACATATATATACAAGAAAGAAAGATGTCCGTATAACAAAGAAGACAGTAAAATCTTGTCAACAAGCACCGTTTTTGTAAATACAGTATATAAAATAAACTATACTTTTTTACAATGATCTTTATAAAATAAAGAGTTAAACAGACAGGGGCTCAAAGAAGATGAAGATGATAAAACATCATCGCAATCTTTTCATAGAGCCCCCTATATACATTTTCATTAGGTTATGGATATTAAATTAAATTAAAAACCCTAATGGGCATAAAACTGCTGCGCTGATCAATAAAAACAAATAAATAAGATTATTAAGAAAATTACTTTGTAATCCTTTTAAGCACAAATAATAATCAAATTTTAAAAATTTCTTTTTTTATCAGAAACTTAAATGAACTTAATGACTTTGCCATACATTTGGATCCTTTTTGATATCTATTCCATCTATTTGGCCCCCGATATGCAATGCTATATTCAGTATATTTATTTAGGTTTTGAGGCAGTTTATATGTGTTACTTATATTTGCTCTTAGATAGTAGTTTTCATTTATGTTTATTTCAAACTTGTTAGTAAAGTTTGTAGGAGAGAGATTATTATTAAATTGATACATAAAAATTAAATGCTGATAGATATTTATTTCAAAAACATCCATCATTTTCATATCTTTCATTATAGGTTTTGCATGCTCCCGCTTATTTTTAAATTTTTGTAGACTATAGATTTTTTTAAGTTTTGATGGCTGAGTACTTGCCCGTGATATGTTTGCATAGCTGATAAAGCAATGAATTAGTCCAAAGTAAATTAGTTTTAGACTTTGTTTATTGATATATGAGCGAACTCTATACATCATACCAATTATATTACTGATTTTAGATTGAATATATCTTATTTGAGGAAGCCAGGATAGCTTCTCATCAACATGAACTCCTAAGAATCTAATGCTGGCTTGTTTTTTAATTAAGTTATCATTTAGGATAAGGTCAGGCAACTTAAGAGGAAGATTTTCTTCTTGCGCCTTTTTATGGAATAATATATATTTTGTTTTCTCTGAGTTAAGCGAGAGTTTGTTAGCTCTAAACCAATTATTTTTATTATTTTTTTTTTTTTACTTCACCTCCTCAAGGCCGAGAAGACCACTACAGACGAGGAGGCTACTTATTTTGTGGCTATAACCCTCTCTCAACTCTATAACTCCGAAACACGAACCTTGACGAACAAGGCCGCTGCGCAGAGAAACGAGTTGAGCGCGGTACTACCAGGGACGTGGTGGGGATCGAACTCCGAACCACTCGTTTATGAAGCGAGCGCTCTACCACTACACCACTACCGCATGATTTAATTAGTTTAATTTGTTCGATATTCATGTCTGCATATAGATTCTTGATATCACTGTTAGTAAGAAATAGATTTGTATCGTCAGCAAACATGACTGAATTTAGTTTTAAAGATGCATTGCAAAAATCATTTATATAAATTAGAAACAGAAGTGGACCAAGGATAGATCCTTGGGGAACTCCACATAAAACATTTAATACACTAGATTGTATATTGCACACATATTGTTTTCTATTGGTAAGATAACTTTTAATCCAATTGTAAGTTTTATTAATTATACCATAGTATTTTAGTTTATCTAATAGGATGCAGTGGTCAACTGTATCAAAAGCTTTTGATAAGTCAATAAAAACTCCTAAAGTAAATTTGTTTTGATTAAAACCATCGGTTATTTGATTAACTAATTTAATAATTGCATGCTCTGTTGAAAGGTTTTTTTGAAATCCAAACTGGTTTGGGTAAAATAATTTGTTTTTGGTAAAGTGATTATAGATTCTATTATAAATTACACATTCGAAGAGTTTTGAAAAAACAGAAGTTATTGATATAGGTCTAAAGTTGGTTATGTCCGAATGTTCATTACATTTAAATATAGGGATTACTTTTGCTAATTTAAGTACATCAGGGAAAATCCCAGATGTTATTGAGAGCTTTAGTATATGGATCAGAGGTCTACTTAAACTGGTTTTATTAAAGATAACTAAATCACTAGTTATTTCATCAAATCCAGGTGCTTTCTTTTTTTTTAAAGAGGAAAAGGCTTCTTCAAATTCTTTATATACAAATTCTTTATCGTACATGATGGCTTTATTTGTGGGTGTTAGATAAATTTTAAATGAATCAGTTGTTGGATTTATTTTATTAGCGAGATTTGGACCAATATTTATAAAGTATTTGTTAAATTCTTCGGATATTTGTTTTTCACAGAATATGTCTGTATTGTTAATATTAATTCTTTTTGGTAAAGAAGTTATGTTTATTTTTTTCCGTCCCATTATTTTGTTAATGACGGACCACGTTTTCTTACTATCAGATTTGCATTTAATGATTTCATTACTATAGTATTTATTTTTTGCCTTTTTAATCAGATTTTGGTAAAAATATTTATAATTTTTGTAATTTTTCTCGTTATCAGTGTTTTTATTTTTAAGATATTTATTATAGGTTTTTGCTTCTTTTTTGAGCATTTTTATCAGTGATTTATCCATCCACGGATTAGAAACTGTTTTTGTCTTAATTATTATGCCCTCTAGAGGACAGGTTTTATTAAAGCAATCTAGGAGTATATCTAAAAAATTATTGAAAGCTTCGTTGGTGTCCTGATATCTATACACGTTGGAACACGTTTCTTGTTTTAGTCTGATTGATAATTCATTAGTGTTACTTGTTTTAAGATTGCGTTTTTTCAAATTTATAACTTTTGGTTCATAATCAGACATGGTTTTTAAATTTCTTACTTTTATAAATATCGGAAAGTGATCACTAATATCAGTCATGAATATCCCGGTTTCAAGTTCCATTTCCAGGTAATTATTAATGAAAATATTGTCAATTGCCGT